ATATTATCATTCAATTTGTTGAATACTATCCTGATATCTTTCCCTGTTTCTGTAGTGACTTTGACAGAACCTGGAGATGATGTTGATTTCATGTGTGAGGAAGGACAGACGGTGGTGCTGCTCAACAGACCTGCAACTGTTTACTCCAACATCCGTTCTCAATGGCATACCAGGTCTGTGGTGAATATGGGATAAATAAATGTCATTAGGGCACTCAATGAGGCACTTCACAACATTTTATAAATGTTCAATAATGTTGGCTTTATCAGATTTATGTTAAAAATATAAATTAAATTATTTTAAGTGAATCAGAAAAAGCCTGAGCATTTGTTTCAAAAAATACTTTGGTTAAATTAATCAACATTATTGTGGATAAAGCAGTGTGGGACTCTTGAATTTCATTTCTGAATCCCACAATTAATGGTTCCTCTTGATATTGATATTATTATTGAAGCTCAATTGACCTCTTAATATTTATAATCATATTTTTTTCAAATAAATATAATTCTCACCTATTTTTCTTCCAATTCTTGAAACCATTCACGGTATGAAAAAATGATAAACAGAAATTTTTTACTGCTCTGCTTTTCTGCTTGTATTTTTCATGGCACTCTAGATGCTCTCTTCACCTGGCAAAGTGTCTCATGTCCAAACAAATGCCTTCTAATTAATTACTTTCAAGTTTTTAAAATAATTTTTTTCATTGCTGTTAAGTTTTAGAAATAGCAATGGAGTGCATTTACAGATACCAAAGGCATTGCAAAGAATGCCAATGTGTAACACTGAGATTGAAGATTAGAATTGTTCCCAAACATTTATTGAACCTCACAACAGCTATTCATCACTTTAAATGCTCCAGAAGTTTGAGTTCAACACTGATCGTAAATGTTCATGGGGAAAAAATTGATTTTCTATACTGATAATTGGGAGCATAGGTAAAAGTTTTTCCTGGTACTATGGTGCTTGCTCTATTGAGAAATGGGTGTCTTATATTAAATTTTTCTGCATTTAATACTTGTTTTGTTGTGATGCAGTGTGGAAAAAGGAGATTTTCTCCGAAAAATCATTATTTATCTTATTTCTAACCTCTGGCCGAGTTTATGTTTGGAAATAGCTAAAAGAGGCATTAAATCCCATCGCTTCCCGCTAGCTATTTAATCCCGCTAGCGCCCGTCCTTCAATCCCGGTGATCTAGAGTGCTATTTCTTAGAAAATTGGTGGGCCAATGATTTTGCTCCTAGGAAGAATCAACAGTGGTGACTATTTAGGAATTTTGGTGGACCAAGTTCATCCAATGGTTCAGGCACTGTTTCCAAAGGTGAATGCCATCTTTCAAGATGATAAAACCCGATTCCATACAGCTGGAACTTTTATAAAATGACACAAAGAACATTCTAATGAATTAGAGCATCTCATTTGGCCACCACAATCACCAGACCTGAATATTATTGAGCATATATGGTCGATTTTAGAGATGCAAGTCAGAAGTTGTTTCCCGCTGCCACCGTCTTTAAAAGAGCTGGAGGGAGTTTTAACTGAAGAATGGATAAAAATTCCTTTGCAAACCATTCACAATTCGTATGAATCAATACCTCAGAGAAAGGAGACTGTAATTGCCACAAAAGGTGAACATACACCATACTAAACTGTAAAAAACACATACTGTAATTGCTACACCATACTAAAATATATTTTGTCAGGAATTTAAAAGAAAAGAAAACAGCCAGAATATTAACCATTTCTTAAGAATGAAAACGTTTCGGAGTCCAGCTCCATCGTCAGTTCAAAAGTTCAAAACCTATAAGAAAATCAGAATCAATTAGAAAACTAAATATATATATTTTGTGCGTTTCTCAGGTGCTTCCATCATTTTGTCTAACCACCACTCTACATGCTCTTGCTTGCTGCCTAACTGTCAGAGCATATTTAATTAGAAATTCACAGCATTTCATGACGTAAAGATTTAGATGTTTATCTTTATGCTGTAAACTTTACAGCCTTATTTTTAATAAAAATATTTCTGTATGTTAAATCTTGTATAAAAATATTTATGGCTGTTAAATCCTGTACCTTATCTTTATTCTTTTAGGCAATCGTAAAGCAATCAACAATTATATTTCTATGCTGGTTGATATTCATTTTGAGATTTGTAGATGATAGTCAAGTTCTGCTTACTAGAGTGTCCACATTGTTCATTCCTGTCCATTACCTGTTCATTCCATAGTTCATTCCTGTTAATTATCAATTTTATACTATTCTTTTTCTCCCATCTATTTTCTGTCTATGTTTTTCCAGACAAGAATCAGAGCATATGGATGCTGTGGACAATGCTTTGCCTGAAGGTGAGTTCATGTTAAGTCATTTATTGATGGTGCATATTATATATTTTTTCTTCCTCATGTGAGGGTGATCCTATACTATTTTCTTAGAAATACCATCACGATTGCTAACTACATGAAGTAGTAGAACTTTGACATTGAACAAGAACTTCTTATTACAATTTCACATGTCTTATGCCAACAAGCATATCTTTGTTTACTCGTGTACTTATTTTTTTTCGCTACAAAAATTTTAGATAAGAACCATCACGATTGCTAACTACATGAACTAGTAGTTGACATTGAACAAGAACTTGTGTTAGAACTTCTTAGTACAATTTCTCATGTCTTATATCAACAAGCATCTCTTTGTCCTCTTGTGTACATATTTTTGTCACTTCTAGAAATTGGAAATAAGATTTTTTTAAGTAATATAATTAGTTTATAAGATGGTTGAATTCAGTGCATTCATTGTGGCCTTATAAATGAATACTGTAATATTTTCATTATTTTAATGACTTTTTCAGATCATTTGAAAGATGCAGATATTCCTCAAACAACATCAACCTCAAAGATGTCAAAAAGTGAAATGCTACGGGAGTCTCGACGGTATAACATCGATTTAGCACCAAAAGTTAGTTATTCTTGCAGAAATATCTTAGATTAATTCTCGATCTTCTTGCACTTCAGTTTGCAACATTGATTCCATTTATTTTTTGCTTTCATTTCTCTTTTATGTCTCATTCATTTCTTTTTCATTTCAATTTTCTTTTATCTCTCTATCTTTTCTCATTCATTTTATTTTACATCACTATTTAATGTTTCTTTCATATCTCTTTCATTTTTCTTCCATTTCTCTTTCATATCTCTTTCATTTTCTTTCATTTCTCCTTAATATTTTTGCCTATTAAGTTTATCACAAAAGAGTGTAACAAAAGCTGGTATCTATAAAAGGGGATTAGAATTATGCAATGGCAAGCAGCTTCTAACTTGAATAATTAGTGTTGTCAATTGCAGGGAAAAAAATAATTCTTTTAATTCTTCTTTCCTTTAATTCTCATAGAAAACATACATACTTGGTTCTGTAACATTTTTCTTTCTCACTAGCATTGTAATTGCTGGTGCATATCTTGTTGTTTTGATGGCAATTGCTATGATCAGTTCAATTTAAGTAATATATATTCAGGGATCTCTTATTACTTTAATTTTAAATGTTTTAGGGTGATTGATCTGGGTGGAATAATTTTTCTTAAGTCTTGCAATATCTTATATTTATAACGATGAGCAATAGCAATGAACAATAACTTATGTGTGCCTGAGTTGTGATTAATCCTGAATTACGTGTAAATTTCAAATGCAAGAGTCAGGCTTATTAATATTATTTCAACACAGATCCTGTACTCGAGAGGTCAAATGGTCGAGCTGCTCATATCTTCAAACGTGGCCAGGTGAACACTAACTGTATTGCATAATAATTGTAAGATGAAACATTTTTTTAACTAGTGCAATATATACTGTAATTTGATGCAACTTTGAGCCCATCTTAGTTCAATATATACTCAACTGAAGCTCTAAGATACCTTCACCACCACACCAGCAGGTACTGTAGTGCTGTACAGTAATGCAGGTACTGTAGTGCTGTACAGTAATGCTGGTGCTGTAGTGCTGTACAGTAATGCTGGTGCTGTAGTGCTGTACAGTAATGCTGGTACTGTAGTGCTGTACAGTAGTGCTGGTACTGTAGTGCTGTACAGTAGTGCTGGTACTGTAGTGCTGTACAGTAGTGCTGGTACTGTAGCACTGTACAGTACTACAGGTACAGTAGCACTGTACAGTACTACAGGTACAGTAGCACTGTACAGTACCTGTATCTGGCAGGTATCTGGAGTTCAAGTGCATCACGCGGCAGTTGTGCTGGAGGGAGGACCAGCTGTTCTCTGTCCCCTGCAGTAGAGCGCAGGTCTTCAGTTCAAAGGCCGTCAGTTTGCTGCAGAAAAGAATCCTGATGAAATTTTTACAGTTTGCTGCCGTCTACACCGAACAGCCAGAGCGCTGGCAAGGTCTGCTTTAGTTCTAATATCCTTATCAATAATATTATCTAATATCTATATTATCATTGCTATTAAGGGGAATGAGTGAATTAAATAGTGGCAATATCTATAATACTGTACGTATTAGAATGGCAGAGATATTTTAGTAGTTTTTGACACTGAATGAATTGGTGAGTCTAAGAAAGTAAGACACCAATGATATTTTTGTTGTTGATCAATCATTTTTGTTTAGGTATTTTTGGTTTATCTGCGATTCAAGCAATCGAGGAACATTTAAAGACTTTATTTTTCATATATTATATTGCTTGCCATATTATGTCTTGGAGACCTGCAGCAGTACGTGCTGGAGGGCATGACGATGTGCAGCCCTCATGCCACCGTCGAGGAGGGGCTACGCGCCCTGCACCTCTTCCTCACCAGCCTGGGGCGCTATGGGGCGTCGCCCTTCCTGGCGCCCCTCTATGGCAGCGGCGAACTCCCTCAGGCCTTCTGCAGGTTGTTGGTCATCTTAATATTAGGGGTGTCCTGCGTGTTTTAATGTGTAAAATAAATTAAAATTGCAAGTTCTTACTATGAACTGGCTGTCTAGCTTGTTTAAAAGTATTATATGTGTAAAATAAATTACCTATATTGTAGTGTAGGCTTCTTAGCCTCCCTGTATATCAGCGGCGAATATACTGCCTTCCTTTGTAGATTTTCGGCTCTGCGTGGCTTTCTTCTGCATTTGTTTTTACGAAGCTGCAGTAAAGTAATTTCCTAATATAATATAAAATAAAGAAATGAATTTCTTATGTTCATTACTTGAAGACTGAAATTGAATATTGGCCTACAGATTGTGTGCCGTGTTTGGAGGAACGTACATCCTGGAGCGCGGCATCTTGTCTGTCTTGACTGCTGACGCTGGACGGCAGCCTGCTGCTCCTGACACTGTCAGCAGCAGCACCACTGCTGACAATGGAAAGGTCGGCAGCAGCACTGCTGACGCTTCTCACACAGCTGCTCCTGACACTGTCATCAGTAGCAACGCTGACGAAGGAAATGTCAGCGGTCCTGTTGTTCTAAGTGTGCTCTCTGAAGGGCGTCGCTTCAGCTGTAAGCACCTGGTCCTTGAGGACGTTTACTGTGACGCCTTCTCTTGTTCCAGTGGCACTTCGTCGCTCTCAAGAGCCGTCGCTATTGTTGATAGGTGAATGTCCGAAATTGTTAATAACCGTAAGCGGTGTGATCGACAGGTTGAGTTAATGAATGTCCAAAATCTCGGCGTGTTAGAAGAATAAATTGTTAATAATAAGCGATGTGATCGAAAGGTTGAGTTGGTGAATGTCCAAAACCTCGGCGCTTTAGAAGAATAAATCGTTAATAATAGACGGTGTGATCGACGGTTTGAGTTAGTGAATGTCCCAAACCTCGGGGCGTTAGAAGAATAAATTGTTAATAATAAGCGATGTGATCGACGGGTTGAGTTAGTGGATGTCCAAAATCTCGGCGCGTTTCAAGAATAAATTGTTAATAATAAGCGGGTGATCGACAGGTTGAGTTAGTGAATGTCCCAAACCTCGGGGCGTTAGAAGAATAAATTGTTAATAATAAGCGGTGTGATCGACAGGTTGAGTTAAGGAAGCTCAATTGTTTGGGGTGTGGGAATGGGGAGTGAATGAAATGAAAAAGCTTTGACTGTCTCTGTTACAGTGTAAAAATTCTTTTGTTGAATATTTTTTTCTCATCGTGTTGAACACATCTGCTCTTTTTCTCATCATTTTGAACACATCTGCTCTATTTCTCATCATGTTGAACACATTTCCTATTTTTCTAATCGTGTTGAACACATTTGTTTTTCTCTTTGTGCACTTGTCCCTGTAAACATTTTTCACTTTCTTGTTCAGATTTTTCTTGAACTTGTGATCACTTAAGCTAATCCGTGACACCGAATCATGCGAAAAATTTTTAGGAATAATTTCATTGAATAAATTGTCCTGCCTAAAGCATCATAATAATAATTAGAACAATAATTGGTTCATAAAGGCACTGGAAAGATTATTATCCAAAACGATATTCAAGTCAAACATAAATAAAGTTTTTTGTGTTTTGATTGTGTCTGTTTTGCAGAGATAAACTACTACAAAAATATATAGCTACAAGATGGGTAAAATTTAAAAAAAATCACGGTATTAATTATAGGTAATTTAACATTGCTTACTTTCGGCAGTATCGTTCATGAGGGCTTTGATTGTTCCCGTCAGCGATAGTCCTGCCACTACCATATGATAACGCACGCTAGTGAACTAAAACTTTCATTAATTAATTACCTGTTGCTTGCATTTCCACTGGTCAATGTTATAGAACAATAATTATTATTTTCAGGGATATTCTTCAATCTTTCCCGTCGTCGGAAGAACTTGCCTCGACCGATGCAGGTTCAGGTCAGACATCGCAGGTCAGCAGCACTGGGGGCGTGTCTCTGGTGCTGCTGCCGGGACCCGCTGGACAACCCATCACAGCCATGCAGTTCGCTGCCGACACCAGCACCTGCGCCCCCAACACCTGTTCGTAGAGTGTGGCTTAATCTTATACTGTGCCAGCACCTGCGCCCCCAACACCTGTTCGTAGAGTGTGGCTTAATCTTATACTGTGCCAGCACCTGCGCCCCCAACACCTGTTTCTTCTCGTCGATGTGCTTCTGTTTTGTCAATGAACTACAGGATTTACACAAAAGCTACCATGATATTGGCACGAAGTTTGATGCTGATTTATATAGTGTATGGGTATTGATGCAACGTTACCTATGACTGCATTCTCATTCAGTTCTACGTATAAAAAGTATTTCGTAGATACGATTTTTCCGCTATCGTTAAATGTTAATTATAATTGTTCTTAAAGTATTCGTTTATTACGAGTGATTGTGCTCTTGGGAACATAATTTGTAACTAGGAATGACGATTACTTCTAATTACAGGGCTTCTGCACCTCACCTGCACCGGCAACAACGCAGAAGAAGACCTCCGCCCAACACTAGACAAGCTTCTCGATCATTATCGCCGCTGTGGTCCTCGCAACGCCCCTAGACCGCCATCACCTTCTTCAAACACTCCTGGCGGGGTAGAAACTGCAACAACTCGAGAGGCAGGAGCTGCTCTCGACACTCCACCTACGGATGAATCAGACTCCACTCAACGTAACGAGTCGTGTAGCGGTGACGACTCTGAGTCCGCTTCACAATCTGGAGTTTTGGCACCTGCAGTCGGAGGCACAGAAGCCGCGTTAGACTCGGGAGGAAATGTCGAGTCGCCTCTTTTGTATTCTCTCTATTTTAATCAGGTAATGAGTGAATAATTTGGCTTTCTCTGGAATCGGGTTGGTTAGATGTTTGATAGCTCGTAGTTGATTGATTGGGCTACGTTATTTGATTGCATACAGTTGCTTCATTGTGCTCTGCTCTTGTCTGCAGTGTCTGCTCTGTGCTCACCGAGCTTATTTATACCTTGCATTCAATTGTATTTCTCTTTTTGTATATTCAGACAAATTGAAATTGCACATTTTTCATGAATGTGTAAATAAAACTTTACCAATATGTTGTTTATGATTTAAGATACGTTTTAAGATAGATAATGAATGAGCAGTCAAGTTATTAATATATCCTAGCAAGTGATGAATGAGTTTGAAGTAATAGTTTACGTATAATTTAAGTTGAAAGTTATGTTCCCGGAGAGTGACATACTGCGGTAGAGGGATAAAGCGTTTCCGACGTGTTCAGTTTTGGTACATAAAAGCTCTATTGCACCTGAAATTTCTGCTTAATTTCATCAGAAAATTGTTGTATTAGTTTGACGGTGTATGGTTCTCACCTGGCGACAGTTTTTTTTTCAGACTATAAATCTGCTTAATTAATAATCATACTATGCTATTTTATTTTGAATAAATGCATCGAGTACACACGCGTACATGAGAATCAAGGATTGGAGATAGTTATTATTATTATTTATCTTGTTATTATTATTTATTTTGTTATTTTTATTATTTATATTGTTATTATTATTTATCTCGTTGTTATTATCATTTATTTTGTGATTATTATTCATCTCTTTGTTGTAAGCACGAACTTTATGTGTTCAGGCAAAGCGCGTCTTCAGCTCCATGTATCCTGGGGAAGACTTCATGCCTCGCGCTCCTGACGCCGACGAGATCATCTTTGATGATCCTACCCCGGCTGATGATGGGGCGGCGGCTGATGATGGGGCGGCGGCTGATGATGGGGCGGCGGCTGATGATGGGGCGGCGGCCGATGATGGGGCACCGCCCGATGATGGGGCACCGGCCGATGATGAAGCGACGGCTGATGATGGGGCGGCGGCCGATGATGGGGCGGCGACCGATGATGGGGCCCCGGCCGATGATGGGGCGGTTGGACTCAGAAGACGTCGATATTGAGAAGGAAATGTCATGTGATGTGGAGATGGAGAGTCTGAAGCGGAATCTTTAGTATACTAAAATTTGTAATTCTTTTAGCTTTGCGTATGCTATAATTCCAAGCAAAGATCTCTCTTTAGACTAACGTATCTGTTCAAACTTTATTATTATCGAAGACTTCACTCTGAAAAATAAATATGTCGTATTGTCCAAATAGTGACACATTTTCTTACGCACGGCACTTGCATCTCAGTGTTTACAGCGCGCGTCTTTTGTGTCATTGCCTTTTGTTGATGCATCGTGCGTAAATGCAACTCTACCCCTGCTGAAGTTTATGATGGCTTTTGACCATCATAAACTTCATAGTTTATGATGGTCTAAATCTTTTAGTTTATAAACAGAAACTTAGACAGCTAACAGGTCGGATCCTATTAGGATGTTCGCAGGGAAAACTTGTAGCGTCTTCTACTAGTAGCGCTTGCAGTTAAATCATTGAGTTATTCTATGTGTCCTCAATAAGAGAGAGCACTCATAAGGGGTATCGCTGGCCAATTAAATTATCAGCATAATTAAATAGCTGCTAATGCTGGTACTGCATTGTGTATCCTCGCTTTTGTGCTTATGACGGAGCAAAAACTATTTGCATGCTGGCTACATAATATATTTAATTACAAAAAAAAATTGAACTTGTCAGAAAGGAATGCCGTCGGTGCAGAGAATGGAAGTGACTTCATTAATAAGAAGGAAGCTCTGGCATGAATCTAGTAAGCGTCAGCATTTTTCACGAGCTTGACTGCTTTGCACAGGGTCTACACGTGTCGTTGAAAGCAGGCAATATTGGCGAAGTTTAATATCTATTTAAACGATTTAATGTATATAATATAATATACTATATATACGATTTAAAAGATCTACCATCTCACATCACACTGACAGCTCAACGCATTCATTTCTGCATTTAATGCAATAGATGAGATGAGATAGTTCAACTTCATCAAAAAAGTAATAGAAAAGTATGTAGTAACTGTATAGAATATTAGAGAGGGTATTAAATGGGGAACCTTGCACAGTCTCCCCCTTCTTTCGTTGTAATATGTCATTATTTTGGAGTTCTCACTCTCAAAGTTGGGAGCCAGTCCGTTTATCATCTTCCAAGTGTACAGTATGATATACCTTTCCCTTCTTCTCTCCAGTGAGTACAGTTCCAGGTGTTTCAGCCTTCCCCAGTAGTTCAACTCCAGGGCCCATAGTTTCAAAAAAAGTTAAGAGATCGTAAGTTCATTAGCCAATCATTGACGGTCTTTCGAGCAAAATCCACCAATCATAGACAAGAAAATAGAGCGCAAGTACTTACGTTCACTTAGCGAGTTTTGAAAGTATGGCCCCAGTGCCATCTCTGAGTAGAACTTTTATATCACCTTTTATGAGCAGAACGTTTCTCATGGGCAGCGCAGATTCACTCAACTGTCTTGAAAAATCCATTGCACGCGATGTTTTTAAGAACATGTGGTACTCGAATTGGCTTTTTTCACGTTGTTAATATCTTTAAGTTAAATTTTAGATGTTTTATGCCCTTTCAAACGCGATGCTTAGAAACTTTCGTTGCAATTCCATGTAACACATTCAAGTTTAATTCTCCTGATGAAGCTGATAAGTATTTCTGATTTTAAATCTTACGAATGATAAGATAATGATTACGTAAAGATAATGATTACGAATGATATTTGCGTATTGTTTTCTGTTTCTAATTAATCGCAGCCTAGGGCTATCTCACAACATTTTTTTTAATCCAGCCATCCTCTAGATCTCATTTTCACAATAAGTGCACTCACGTCTCTGGTTATCATATATACCGTGCATACATCTATAATTTGGCTGAACTTGTTTGGTCAAGTGGTTAAAAATTCCTTAATTTGGGGAAAGGAACGGCTTTATTTGATTTTTTTTTTTATTTTCAATTTTTTTTCCCTTTTGTTTTTATTTTTTCATATTTATTTCCGTTACACTCTCATACGAAGCCTTATAACTTTGGGAATTGAAGAATTACACAATGTTTAATGTATTGTTCACTTTTAATAAATAAAAAGTATTGAAAAGGATCTCTATCTAAATTCGTAGTTAACAATGGTCAGTTATAATCACATACGAAATCCCAAATTTCAGTATAGTATCAGGAAGCATTTCTTTATTAATAAAAAAATTTCAATCTATGGAAACGTAAGAGTATCACATCATCAGATGATTCGCAATCATCTGCAGTTCAAACATCTATGAGTTAATGAAAACTTCTTTATGCGTAGATTAAAATTGAAAATGAACCAAACTGACAAGTGGGCCAAGTATAATCCCAACGAAGTACAGGAATTTATCTCGATAGCGATGATTCATGAGAGCACTAGACGGCTTGCTTGCTGTAGTCCATCTCGAGGCTTCATCTTGAAATTACGAAGACGCATTTCGGTCCTTCTGGAGTACCTACTGTACTCCGAATGTAAATTCCTCCGTTCTTGTTACTAAATTTGTAGGCTTGGTGTTGATTTAGAATCTTGTCTCCTGGACTTTTTTCAAAACAACGAATGCCAATAAAACAAAAAGTCGCAGTCGTCAACGAAAACGGCATATCGTTCATGAAATTTACCTGGTCCTCGTGATAAACTAAACACGAATCTCTTTCAGTTGTGGTAGCGACTAATCTTGAGTTGTGCTTTAATTTTCCATAGCGTTGGAAGCTTCATTGATTTTTGAAGTTCACTCTTGGTTGATCCGCCTGAAGCCTGAAATGATGAGCTTCCTGAAGCTCTCTTCTGCGTTGCAATCTGTTCCTCCGATTGATTGCAGAGACCCGCACGCTCTGCACCATGCCCAGAAACTGGGAGAGAATAATCGTAAGAAGAATCATCTTCATAATCACCTGGAGTGCAATCTTAAAAATGACTTCCACTGTCTTACAGTGACCACGAGGGTCTTTCATGTGAACGCCATGTATCATGTCCTCTTCATTGCCTGTTAGGAGCAGGTGGGTGTAGATTACTGCATCTAGGAAGGACTGTATTCTTACGCCGCAGCGTCTGAAGAGTAGAGAGGCGATTTGCGCAAAGCACACGTAAACAAACACCAAATAGCAGAAGAAGTAGCGCGACCTGGTGACGCCCTTGCGAAGTGCCGTCACGAAAATCGTTAGCGTCGTGAAGAAATAATCATCGTACAGAGTAAGTTTAGCGCAACTTAACGCTAAAGTGGCACTTAGCAGCTGGTTGTTTAGAGATTGTAAGTGAAGAAATGGTGAAATCCTTCTTTCTCGTCCGTCTGTTTCTATATGGTCAATCGTCTCTTCGAAATTGAACACCATCCAGAAATGATTCTTCAGAGTGACTGCTGTGCATGAAATAAGCAGGATATTTACAACTTGTCTGAACCAGAATATTTCCGAAGTGAGGACAGATTTTTTGAAAACGAACGTAAAGTCCCACAGTGTAATAGTCACGACAGCGAGAACTGACAGTGTAAGTAAAGTGATGTAGATGCTATCAGCGGAGTTGTGGAAGTTGCCCACCTGGAAGGCACCTCTGATGTAACCGAGCTCTATTCTGCTGGTGTGCCGCCAGTTCCACGCCACGATCCTCTCGAATGTGAGGTAGACCTCGTAAAAAATGTCAGTTTGGCGGTCACGAAATGCCAAACTGAATTGGATAAATCGCAATTCTGGGTGCATGAATCCATCCCGCACTTGTTCGTGCATGCAATCTACGATTTCCGAGAAACAACGCTCATAGAGAGAACTGTTGTGCGTGAACTTGGGCACGATTAGCACGTGGCCGGCAGATGGATAAGAGCACGTAAAACACCGTGCACTTGATACCCGGGTTTCTTCGCTGTCTTCTTTAAAGGACATCTTGAGGACCCCTCCATTGCAGTGTGTCAGTCTCCATGTTGGAAGCTCGCTCATATCTCGACTGATCTGCCGTTCAACTGCGATGTCATCAAAGAGGATAGGAAGAAGGCACTGAAACTCAGATTTTGGATTGCATTTCCTCGTATTTACGTTGATAAAGCGGATGAAAAGAGGACCTATTGCGTCCGACATTTTCGAGCTCCACTGCTGCACGAAAACGCTATAAAGATTAGCTAGCAAATTAGTATTTTTCATTTCTTCCGCCGCGTTGTCCAGCAGCATGTTGTTCTGCACGGCGAATCGTAACAATTGTTCCGTTGTACGGTCCTCGAAAAAAAGGATAATGAAGCACATCTGCAATAGGAAAAGTCCATGTAGAATAACGCTGATTCTCTGCTGACTTCTTTCAAAGCTCCATCGTCCCGGCATCCGCTGCCTCCGATTCCTGAGAACATTTTCAATATTTTCCGCCATTACTTCGAAGAGTTACGTTGGTATAATGGGAGAAAGACCCAAGAATTGGGCGTACTTTTGTTTAGCTGGCGGTATATAGAATACTTGTGGGAGTCATGACCAGAAGAAAATTGTTTCGAATTTGTTCAGTTTTTATGTTTAGGACGAGAGACTTTTTTGCCTTTAAGCTGCATTCTATATACTGTTATGATAAAACTGGCTTACTTTATTGTACGATGAAAATTTTAAAAATAATGATCTGTAATTTCCGGTTAAAGTAAATCTTGTAGTTGAAAAAGTTTCGCCCATCATAGAATTAGTCGAAAGAATAGTCATTAAATAATACCGAGGTAATATCATTATGATAACCTCGATATGATTACTTCATATCGATCAATTTCATTTTTTTATTATTAAACTTTATTGTTATTTATATGCAATCAAAAACCAAAATCAATACCAACTGCAAACAAGTTTTTCAAACAAGGCTAAAACCATTCAAAAATGAAGGTTAAATATACACTGAGCCGTGTGTTCTGATGGTGTGTGAAGAACAACTCAATGAACGAACAGTTCCCTTTATTTGAGAACATTTAGAACATCAGTCTCGTGTATTCGAGAACATGGAGAACACCTCATGAACATGCCACAGAATATGAGGTGGAACATGTAACGTCTCATTTACCGCTAAGACAAACCTGCTTTTTATATTGACGGCTCTCAAGGCTTTAAATATAAAGTTTTAACAAAAAATCTGGCGACACATACAACTGACATAGTACAATAGTCAAAGTAGAGATATTATCCTAATTTGAGTTATGTGTGTAAATTCATCAAAGATTTTTGCTTTCTCTATTGCAAGAGGCCATTTAATAGTAACACATAAGTCCTAATATTAAAAGATATATATAAACAAATGCCTGAGCAATAACCGCTTCATAGGGCTAATTAAGTTGTGGCTCGCAGGATTATATTTGGCAGGATTATTTTTTACGTCTTCTAGTGCTAGGATATTTAGTATATAGTATATTCAATATTTTGCTGGACAATCCGTATTGATTTTACTTTTTCTAGCGCTAGGAAACTCAAGCCGCTGAACTATCCAAGATCCACCACAACCTCTACGGTCAGCCTGAGCAGTACATTCAAATACCTTAATATCGCACTCTGAAAAATCAATGGTTCATTTTGTCCATATAGCGACAAGGACGTACCGCTGATACGACTTTTTGTAGGCTATTATGGGTCAGGATGACACACCCACACACGGGCCAAAATAAAAAGAGCATCACTTTTTTGGACAAATTCTCACATATTTCTCTTTGTGTACTATAAAGACGCATTATGTAATGTGCATAGCGCATTAAATTTGACCTGATATCTAATAATGACCAACACCAAGCTTTGTCATGAACTATACGGCCGCATAATTTAAAAAAAAAATTATTGAGGATAAGTTCCACTGACCATATTGCACGAACTTATCAATATAAATTAAAATTCTTTAGAATAATTCTTAAAATAATCAAATGAGCGTTACATGTTGGGCTCTCAGACGCGGTACCTTAAATTAAAACATTGGACGCGTTACATTAATTAAATTCGATCTCACTGCGTATGCAGCGTTGACAGGCGGAACCTTCCTACGTAAACCTGATAGTTATTGTTTACATTCACATGAATAATTTTAGTAGAGATTCTAGGAAGATGTGTTCTAATTTTAACTTGCTCTTAACTCGGAATAAAGTATCTTAAATATACATCAATTCGAGTACATTTTTACCACAAAGGCTCAGCCGTTTGAACAAATCCAAGTTACTTTAATTAATGCATTGGAAAACAGTTAACCATTATGGTTGGATTTATCCTGAGTAAATCCCGGTTACCAATTACAAAATAAAGAGCAGCATGAGAGTTAGCAAAATGCCGATAACGACGACGCCGAGGATAATCCACGTCACGCACATGCCGCCCCTGCAGCAGAAGGGCTTCACCACTTTCCCATCGTCGGAGCCCACGCCTGCTGCAGCAGCGGCTTTGCTGGCCAGCAACGCCTTCGGGAGCGTCGCGCCTTTGTCGTTGCCCCCCCGAACTGGGAGAACCTCTGGGGTGCCGCCCTCGCCGATCACTACAGGTCTGGGACGGGCCATGGGGGGCAGCAGTTGTGCTGGGATTCCTAGGGGCGCCCCTGGCGCTGCAGGTCCCATGATGGTGGACCCCACGAGACTACGAGCGTCGTGCATGATCGGGGGAGGAGGCATGGGGAGTGTGCCGTAGATTGTAGGGGGAGGGGACATCATACGCATGTCGTAGATTGACGCAGCTCGACGTGGGTGCCCAAGTGTAGCGTATCCTGGGTGTATCATGGGGGGCATGGACATAGGGGGACCAGGAGGCATGATGCCGTGGTGGACAGGACACGGTTCACCGTCGTACGTCGCCGCGACAAGAGCGGGCACTGATTTGGCAGACTTCAGGGTCCCTTGCTGGTAAGGGGGCACTACAGACGGGGCATATCCTGCCCGAGATGGAGGATATCCAGGATAATATCCTGTGGAGTATCCGTAAGCAGGATGAGCAGCGGGATGACCTTGGGGAGGGGGCGGCTGGTCGCTTTCATCCTCACTGGATGAAGAGGAAATCGTGGATGTAGCTGTGCCTGAGTGTCGCGAGTCGTGTGGCTGTCGAGCGGACGGGTGGTGTGGTGGGGGAGAGAAGTGGTCAGTGGGGGACATGTCGCGTGAGTGAGGATAATCCCTAGGAGGATAATCCCCTCTGGAGGCACTGTAATCTCTGGGGGGATAGTGCGAGGGAGGAGGTTGGGGGCCGTATGCGGGCAGCATCCCCTGGGAGGAATCCCTCTGTGTGACCCAGCTCTTGTCGGTGCGGTGACTCAGGCGGTCGCTGTTAGACGGCGGCCCCATGCGCCCACTGTCGACTCCTGCCAGGAAAACAATTTCTTGTTATTGCTATTGAACAGGAAAATAATTATTTGTTATCTGCGAATAATTGTCAATGAAACCAAAGTAAAATGGTCCACACCCCCGCCCAGTACCTGGCCCGTATCCCCGCCCAGTACCTGGTCTATATCCCCGCCCTGTACCNTATCGGTCCTGGTAGCCGGACTGGTGGTAGTTGAGGTCGCGGTGCTGCCACGCCATCGGCGTCCTGGGGTCGCCGCTGCGTCCGTTCGCCATCTCCTGTAAGGGATGTCATTATCATTAATAAATGATTAATTATTAAACTAATTTCATCAATTACACATTTCAGATACGATTAACGTTTCCCGTATCAGTAAGCGAACAACGTAAGAAAATGGCTTTGATTGATGAATGAATTTATAGTTAGGTGTAAGTGGAATTAAAATGGCATTAAACGATAAAATGAAATTAAGGAATTTATTTTAAAAGCTTTTATTGCTTTATTTTGTTGGGAAAAAAATAATTTCAAACTGTTAAAACCGCAAAATTGACGGTCATATTATATATATCCAAACGAAAATGAGGAGTATCCATTTGTAATGAAGAGTAGTTCATTTGCTTTTAGTACCAAATCATTTTGGCAATATTCAGTAGGCAAACAAGTTTTACATCAAGCCACTGCCATAAACTATATATAAGAAGCATACATTTTGAGAGTCGAGAACATAATTATCTCATGAGCGCTGATCGAGGAAGATCAATTGTTATCTTATCACTATGTTCTTGGAATAAAAAGAACTCGTTTTTGTGCCTGATAAACTGAAATCGAACGCCAGTTTACAGCTCGCTTTGAAGACCAAACTTTTTCACTTTCCATTGAAACATATTTTACATGTATTATTCTTCAAGCGCGGGTATCAAAGAATTTCAATGATAATATGGATGCTGAGGGAAGTTTGTCTTATGGATAAAAAAAAAAACAAGGAATAAAATTGTAGACCACAGAAAAAACGCGACGACTGAAGACCGGCAGCAGTTTTAAATTTCAACGTATTTTTGCGAAACATTCTTCAAATGCGGTTATAACTAATTTCAATTTTACTATGGATCATGAACAAAACATCTCTCATAAACACAAGCAAAAAATAAACTATAATAAAATTGTATGAAAAACGGTACTACTGAAGACCGGCGGCGGCAGCGGCAGTAGACCGCGCGGACCGTTAGAAGCCAGCGACCTTCATAGCGCGGCTACGAAACCGGCAGGTTCTTCCTGCCACCTCTACAGCTGGTGACCTGCAACCTGCTGCGTGCCTGCAGCTGGCGACCTGCAACCTGCTGTGTGCGGTTCTTCATTTTTACCGACCTGCACTGCTTCATTCTGAATAGCATGCATTGCTTCCTGCACATTTTTCCATTTGTATATTGAATGCCATTTGTTCGACCAGCTCAGTGAACTCCAGCGGCTCGCAGTGTTTATAGACTCGTTTGGCCCTGAGCGCAGTCACAATTTCTCTCAATTCGCGTCACGCCATTCGAGTGCTCTAACAATTCACAGTTCATTGTCCGGTACACGCTTCATTTCATTAATTTGAAAAGTTACAGGAAATTCGATTTAGATGCAAAAAATTATTGATGCCCTCTTTAAACTGAAATCTAACTAAAAGCTAAAAATTACCGACGAGATAACTTGGCCAATCGCGAGTGTCTTCGACATACCGAAACTTAAGATTACATGTAAAATCATCAGATCAACGATTCAATAAAAGGCTGTCAGAAGTGAGGTCTCAGGAGCGTTGGGTCTGAAACGCCCGTAGCCCAACCATGAATATCCAGAGGCCCAATCAGTCCCGAAAAATTCGTGGTCTAATCCTGCAGAGACCGTGTCCCATATCCTGCAGAGACCGCAGCCCATATCCCTGAAGAATTCGTGGTCTAATCCTGCAGAGACCGTGTCCCATATCCTGCAGAGACCGCGGCCCATATCCCTGAAGAATTCGTGGTTAGTGTTTATAGACTCGTTTGGCCCTGAGCGCAGTCACAATTTCTCTCAATTCGCGTCACGCCATTCGAGTGCTCTAACAATTCACAGTTCATTGTCCGGTACACGCTTCATTTCATTAATTTGAAAAGTTACAGGAAATTCGATTTAGATGCAAAAAATTATTGATGCCCTCTTTAAACTGAAATCTAACTAAAAGCTAAAAATTACCGACGAGATAACTTGGCCAATCGCGAGTGTCTTCGACATACCGAAACTTAAGATTACATGTAAAATCATCAGATCAACGATTCAATAAAAGGCTGTCAGAAGTGAGGTCTCAGGAGCGTTGGGTCTGAAACGCCCGTAGCCCAACCATGAATATCCAGAGGCCCAATCAGTCCCGAAGAATTCGTGGTCTAATCCTGCAGAGACCGTGTCCCATATCCTGCAGAGACCGTGTCCCATATCCTGCAGAGACCGCGGCCCATATCGCTGAAGAGTTCGTGATCTAATCCTGCGGAGACCGTGGCCCGTATCCTGCGGAGACCGTGGCCCGTATCCTGAATATCCAGAGGCCCAATCAGTCCCGAGGAGTTCGTGGTCTAATCCTACAGAGACCGCGGCCCGTATCCTGCCTAGCGCGTGGGCTAACAGGATCGCTCGGGGCCGAGGCGCTTGACTGACGCATTCCGATACAACGGTTCCCTGCGCCCGCACCTCAGCTACGCGGGCCCCGCCTCCTGCTAGGGCCCAAACGCAGCCAAATATCTGTAATAGCTTCCGATATTCCAGCGAACCGAATATTCTAACTGTCTAAACGAGAGCAAAATTTTGTCCAATTGAAAAAAATTGCCTAACGAAAGTAACTGTGAAAGCAATACTTTGATTAAATTCTCGTTCAGAATTTTAATGCTTAGAAGAGCTCAGATTTAATTTACTCGCAGGCTTCCAGCATAAAAAGTGAGAGTATCCAAATTAGTGACGTGGAGCGTAGATATGAACATAAAATAAGGTAAAAAGTTAAGTTTGAGATCAGTTTTCAGTCTTGCTTTTGATATTCAAAAATTAAAGAAAGAACAAAATGTGATACAATTATAAATCAGATGGAAACGCTGAAACCTGAATAATTCTTATAAATAATAAATGGCATGTTTATTGGATTAATATATCACCTACACGGCGACTGACTGAAATAGAAGGGCTGTCATTCGATTCATTTAGTCAATGAATGAGTCACATCCTTCAAATAATGACACATTTTCTGCATGTAGCACTTCTTCGCCTTTTCGACTGGCTAAACATACACAAGGTCGAAAAATTCATCGCTTTTTGGACATATATTTCTAATTTTTCTGAGTGTACAGCGTGGCCTACTAAGCTGAGCCCGAGACGCAGCTCAGGTAGACGAGGCGATCGCAGGTGCGCTCGGAGGAGAGGGGGAGGAGGAGGGAGAGGGGAAAGAGAGGGGGAAAAGAGGAAGGGAGATAAAGGGAGGAGGGGGAAAAGAGAGGGGAGGAAGAGCAGGAGGAGGGAGGAAAAGGAGGGAAATAAAGGCAAAAAGAGAGGGGAGGGAGAGGAGTGGGATAAGGAGCTAAGGACTTAAAGGGAAGAAGAGGAGGAATAAGAGAGGGGAGGAGGATGAGGAGGGAGATAAAGGGAGGAAAGATGGAGGAGATGAAGAAGAGGAATGAGACAACTCGCACTGTACTGAGACACTTGACAGCCTCTGCCAGCGCCGGACAGTTGGCGGCAAAATCTCGCGCTGGAATTTGTTGCGAGTGAAGCGAGTGCGAAACAAAGGCCGACGCTACCACGACTTTGGCTTAAATAATTAATTTAATTTACAAAGAGTAATTTACAACAGTTAAGTAAACAGTGAGAAATAAACGACGAAGTTATTGGCAATATACAAACATATTAAAAGTTTCACTAACAATCGCATGAATCAATACTATAGATATTTTTCATTCTATTAGTTCTTTAAGTTCAATCTCTACATAAATTTAAACAAACTAAACTATAAACACAACCGAGGCACTTTACCTTTAAGGCTATACAGCATCGAGATGAGTATGTACATTTATACAGATATTTCCAGTCTCATCATTTTTCATTAACCGATATTACCATAACGTGCAACGAAACGCAATATCTAACAAATGAAAGCCAAGTAAATTATGCCTATCTTTGCCGTTATAATACAGACTAATGCAGTGCAGTTTGCCGTTATAATACAGAGTAATGCAGTGCAGTTTGTAGCCTCTGCCAGCGGGGGACAGTCGGCGGCAAAATCTCGCGCTAGAATTTGTTACGAGTGAAGCGATTGCGAAACAATTAAAGGTCGACGCTACCACTACTTTGGCTGAAATAATTAATTGAAGGTACAAATAGTAATTCGCAACAGTTAAGTAAAATATTAGAAATAACCGAGAACATGCGCATTAACCGACGAAGTTTTTGCCAGTTATTGGCAGTACAAGCATATTAAAAGTCGGAAACAATCGCATGAATCAATACTTTAGATATTATTCCTTCTTTTCGTTAATTAAGTTCAATTTCTACATTAATTTATTGAAATCAAACTAGAACTAAACTAACCTTGAACTAAACTAAAATAACAACCACGTCACATTACCTTTAAGCCTATAAAACATCGAGATACAGTACCTATGTACATTTCTACAGATATTTCCAGTCTCATCATTTTTCATTAACCGATTGTAACATGACATGCCACGAAACGCAATATCTAACAAATGAAAGCAAAGTAAAGTGTGCAGATCTTTGCCGTATTAATACAGAGTGATGCAGTGCAGTTTGTCGTTATAATACAGAGTAATGCAGTGCAGTTTGTCGTTATAATACAGAGTAATGCAGTGCAGTTTGTCTGGCATTTCAATGCGCTATTTCTTTCAAATTGTTACCTTATTAGAACGGCAAAATTTCATATACGGAATACAAAATCGACGAGAAAAGGAATTTGCCATGCACAGCGTGGATATAAAGATTTAGGACTATCTTAAATTTAGTGACCTATACTCACAGCACGGAAGTATCACTGACAAGTCATTTTGCGGGGCCAAACAAGAATGAACCACGCAAGAGCAAGAAGTGCTGTTGTATACTGGTAATGTCTCACTCATTTTATACGAGGGTAGAGGAGAGCACACTTGCTCTCTTCTTTTAATCAATATTTAATTATCATTCTCGCATTGTCAACAAAAGCTTCAATGGTCGTGATTATGCGCACCTAACCAAGAACCAGAGAACCATTTTTCGAAATTTCAATAAATTCAGCATTTCAAAGCTACTAATCTGCAACAAGATGGTCCAAAAGTTCAAAACGTAAATTTAGGCAGACACTTCACAGCATTTTGATGTAACGGCCTGTAGTAACCATGAGTTGTCACGTGGAAGCGTTGTCAGCTCTGACGTGCTTATATCAGTCAAAGAACAAATTAATAACATTTTTCCAAGTTTTCTATAAAATTAGCTGGTACTTCTGGATTTGCTATATTCATGCAGAATATAACTTCATTTTCAAGGAAACATAGCACACTATCCTACTGTCATTACTTAGCAGTGGTTATGAATATAACTAACTGATTACATATTCTACAAAAAGTTATTATTGAAGTTATTTGGAGTATTACTATAGTTTCAAATAACTGACTTATGATCAGAAAAAAGGTTGCAGCCCGAACCCGCAAGCCGGTATTTTCAAACCGGCTTTTTTCATATTTTCATGTAAGTAACCGATTAAGGAAACCCCACCAAACACCTGTTGGAAAATATCCCAGCTACAACTCAGCGAGATAACGGAAAAGCGATCATAACTTCATTGCAAAACGATGATGATGAATTAACTATAGCAATCACGATCATTATATCATTACAAACGCTCGCATCTGTCGAGAGAAGCGACCGCTCCTATATAACGCGCGTCACGAGAAGCAGATGGCGATGAAGGAGTAGCTGAAGTGATATTGATGGGAGATCATGAATTACGAATTATATTTAGAGTTAGAAATATAATACAATAGCATTAGGGGAAAACAGATGAGAAAATATAACAATAATTATTGAAAGTAAGGCATAAACAGACACACATCGGAACTCTGCATGGAGTACGAAGTCTGTGCTGCTTTTCGTGTCAAGACTTCGCAGCGTGATGAGCTATACGAAGGCATAATTACTTTTTAGTTGTACATAGCGCACGTCTGTACAATACATATTTGTAATTGCAAGCAGCAGTTATACAGACATACATATATACACAGCACATTATACACTGTATATCACAGGTTACTGTCCTCGGCGCAAGCCTGTAAATAAGCGAGCCTGCCAAGCAAGTAGTGTTCACTGCTATCAATTTACATTAGCCGGGAGAGTTAAACTAGTTAAACTATATATTATAGTTTAACATAGAAAGGCGACGATATGGCTTAACATAGTCCGGCTAAGATATCGTTTACCATAGCCAGGATAGAAATAGTTCAATACAGATATAGGGATATAATTGAAAATCTGATTAAATGTGCATGTACGTTTAGTTATTTAATTATAATTGAAGAGAGGAAAACAATCCTAAACTTGCAATAGTTCAGCAACCGAACCCTGATAACATCAAGCCACCTGCACCAGAGCGAACGGCGAGATCATCACCATCAGTTCTTCCTGCCTCAGCAATCAGTGGTTGAAGGCAGACGAAAGCTGTTGAAGTTTTTACCAAAAACAAACGTAATCTCAACCACAAGAAAAATAACACAGCAGCTGAACGAAGCAATAGCGGGACGAACGCGTCGAACCTTCGCCTCTCCCTTGCTGCTTCGTGGTGGCAGCGGCAGACAAAAATGAAGGAAAGTGTCGGGAGATGCTACAAGAAAAGGCTAGGTAGAAAGTGAGATTATATATATATATATACACACGTTGATTGGTGTGGAAATTAAGTATGGGTATCAGTATCAGGAATAAAACTCAATGATATTACGAATGCATTTAAATATAGTGCGAGCTCGACGAAATTGATATTCGAGAGTACCTA